ATACGAATTTTGTGTAATATTTATATTTGACCAATCACATTTGAAGAAGATCATCAGACACTATAGCCAATTAAAAAGAACTTCTGTTATGCTGTTTATATATCGATTGATCAGTTTTTTAAAATTATAGTTAGATTTTAACTTTTTCTAAAAATTTTTAAATAATCTTTTTATACTTTGAGTAAGCAATTTTTTTTAAAAGTTATTCTATTAAACTATAACTGTTTTTGTGTTTTTTTTTTTTCTTAATAATACAAGACTTGTTTATTTAAATAAGTTTTAAACAAACTTAAATGTATTAATTTTTCAACTTTATAAAATTTTTCTTTTTTATATATTCTTTTTTGATATTAAAATAACCTTTTTGGTTTTTGATTTTATTAACACTTTTTAGATAATATAGTTTTTTAAAAACTATTACAAAAAGAATGTACAACTAGTTATACATATAACTTTTTTATATTACCTATTTAAAAAGTCCACTCTAGAGTTCTTTATCAGTTGTTGTACCTAACATCCCTGCTTAGGTGTTTCATTTAAACCTTTAAACCTATAACTTCATCAGGTCATGCCTGGATTCCTCTTCATGTATTGTAAATATATTGTTGTACATATATATATTAAAAAAAATTATTTATACTAAATATTAACATTTACTCTTTATTTCATATTAGTTTTTTTTATTGAAATTTAAAGTTAAAATACAGTTTAATACCAAAATAAAGTCAAATATCATAATCCAAATTTTAAATTACACAAGATTTTCAAAATTCTAAGCATTTTTACTTAGTACATCTAACCCCCGTTTCTTAATCAATTTTTTAAAATATAATACTCCCAAATATCTATCCCAACATAAATTAATTTCGTTTTTGGAAAAAATAGCTGTGTCAGTAAAATCTGCCATCAGCTTCTTTAATTTGTTTCTGAACTGGTCATATACTAATTTTATTTTTTTTTAATATAAATAATAAAAGTATTAGAAATAGAGGTGCAACGTTCTCGGGCATGCTCTCCGTGTGCATACCCAGGAGCATGCCTTTAAGCTAAAAGCGATGCCCATTTTATTTAATATTTAAGGAACATAATTTAAATGAATGTGCTTTCTAATTGGTTAATATTAACTGCTTCTATAAATATAATACTACGTAATATATATATATATATATATTTATAAGGCATGCCGGGTATGAAAAGGCATGCCTTTAGTTTAAGGAATGCCCTCCTGGGCATGCCTAGAAATTTTGTGCCCTACCTCAATTAATAATGTTTTTTTAAAAAAAATCATTTAATCGTATTAAATTCTAAATTTTTTGATTTTTTTGTTGAAGAACACCGTGACAGTCTACTACCAATGTGATTTATCTTCGCTTTATACGACATCCGTTTTTGCTTAACATAAGTGAACTCTAACTCCATACATCTTCTTGATATCTTCCACGGCTTCTTAAGTCTTTGACGTACGCTATTGAGCTGTTTTCATCCATACCACCACATGTTTGTGCTATCTGAATGAGCGCATTATTGACATCACGTGCCATATTTTTAGCGTCACTAAAAGAAGAAATAATTTAGCAAATATATAAAAATAAAAAAATTGAACTAAAAAGGGAGAAATTGAAAATGAAACTTACCCGCAAACATAAAAATAGCCACCTCTAGTGTAAATCAATTCCCAAATATACTGTTGATGTTCAACAAGACGATGTTGTACATAAACTTTTGTATCCTATAAAAATTAGATCTAATTTAATGGACTTTTCTCATTGACTCTAAAAACAAAATAAAAATAACATACTTGTTCCCTTGAGAATGCTGTGACCAATTTCCCATTTTCACCAAGGACAGTGAATAACTCATCAAATTCATTAGCATATAAAAAGTCTTCGTTACGTTTTCGACATCCAAAGAACAAAACTGTATCGCCAACTGTATCACCTTCAGACTTGTACTTGGCTCTTTCGATAACGAATCCTCGGAAAGGAGCCACACCAGTACCAGGACCTACCATCACAACCGGAATTTTGAGATTCTTGGGTAATTTAAAGTTTGTATTTCGAACATGTATAGCAAATTTAATTGTGTTGGTAGAATCATCATAATACTTGTCTCTAGGGCCAGAATATAAGTAGTATGGTGACGTATCTGGATGCTCAATATTATTGAGTTTACGATGAACTTGATGGATGTAATTTGTTGCTAGACCGTAAACTGTCTTCTTAGGAGAAGTTAAAGGTTGATAACGTAAAACTGACGCAGTGATGTGAATACTTGTTGGAGCGACTTTAGATGTGCTAGAAATTGAATAATATCTGCATTGAAGCCTTGGTAAGGTTTCTATTATCAGATCCAATGGTATACTATCCAATTGCTTGCCGTTCGAGGATGCCAATTCTAGTACTTCACCAAGAGTTAAGTGAGCATCAGCGACTTCAATTCGGTAAGCTTCTTTATCTTGCCCTAAAGTAGTGAGTCTAGATTTGCCTTCTTCGGTGGGCGCATAATTTGCCAGAGTGGCAATAAATTGACGAGATGCCGGTGAATTAATGTCAAGATAATTACGAAAGATCGTGGCATATGTAGTAGGGACCGGGAAAGGATGTTTTTTAGATGCTGATGCTATATAATAGAGTAAGAATCAGATAATAGAAATTCAGACAATATATTGTTAATACTACAATGCTTAAAATAATAATAATGACAATAATAATAAATAAATTCTTAAATATAAGAAATATATTAAAATATATTTAATATATTTAATACTTACGATCAGTGCTTTCAACTGTGACTATGGTGTCTTTTTTATCCCAAAGTCCCAATACTTTAAGCAAACGATAAACATCTTGTTCGGGATTTATGGGCCAGATTGCAACATGATCACCCGACTGATAATAAAGACCTGAACCAGTAATATCTAATTCCATATGCACACAATTGCGATCTGTTGAATTGAATAATTCTCGAGAGGCAGTGATTGCTGATGGAAAAGGATTCTTGGCATCATAGGAAATACGACTGAATAATAAAATTCACATATTAATATAAAATAAAAATCCAATCAATGATTTCGTTTAATATACAACTAGACTTACGTTCCACTATTCAGAGCATGTTCACTAAGTTCACCATAGAATACAGTATCGTTATCGTAATGTTCCAACTCGGTAATCTTGTAAGCAGCAATACGAGTTCTATAAAATTCATGATAATTATCATGATATTATAATATTCCAGTTACATATCAGTTACATGTAAAATGCAGTAATCAAATAAATTTAGCATACCTATGATTTTGAGAATCGTTAGGATCAATATTCATGGCGTCACATACTGCTTTCCACATATCTTCTTTCCAACCAAGGAAATCTTCTTCTAAACTGCCATCATCATCGCCTTCACCACGCTCACCAATTCTTGTAGCCCCAAATTCCGATAATTTGGAATCGACAAGTCTTCCAACAGCATTAAAATGCTCATATGTTTTATTTCCCAAAGCAAAAACAACGTATCGAAGGCTTGACAATGGTTTGTCTTCAATTGGCATACCTTTAGAAAATTCAGGATTATCCGAATTTATTAATTCCCAGAATTCGACAGCATCATCAGTAGGTTCACCTTCACCTTAATTATATAAAATTCATATAAAAATATTCAATAAAAATTTTTTAGACTGTCAACGCGTAAACGAGTAGTAAACAAGTAAAAAAAAGAAAGCAATTAACCATAAGTTGCCATTAAAAAGAATGCCAAACAATCATCAGGAAAATCGTCAAGAAGAGTCATATCACAATCCTCAACGTCGATAGTCATGGTCCTTAAACCAAATCGTTGTAAGCCTTCTTTTGCAAGACGAGATGCATAATCTTCAGCGGTACCAGTTTGTGACCCATAAAAAAGAACAACGTTTTTATCCTAAACCATAAATCGTTAATCACAGAAATAAATTAGATTTAATAATTCACCATCATTAATCGATCAATCATTCATCGTAATTTATATAATAATGACATACAGTATTTCGCATCTTTTTGATAAAATTTTTGTCCTTTTTTTGAGGAGGTCTAGGAATTGCTACAGGTGGAGGTAAGGCAGAAGGCTTCTTAGGACCAAATATAGCCTCGCGGAAAAGATACAAGACTGCAACGAGACCAGCAGAAATAAGGAAGACAAGATCGAAGGTATCAATGATCGGTTCATCCTGTGGATCTATAAGCACTGGCTCCGAAGGGTCTGACATGTTTGAATGACGATCTTTAAAGTATGGGAGATAGTATATGCGAGATAGTATTTGTACGGTGAGTCCTTCAACAAATTCTTATATTTACACTACGACTAAGGAAAAATTTTTTTACAATCTTTAGGAAATGATCCGATAGATAAAGGTTGGACAAATATGTTAGAAACAATCGAAAAATAGTTGGGGATATTCTTTTATATTGAAGGTTCGATGAAAACCGGTTAAATAACCGAATTGATTTCTAAAAAAAGAGTTACCATTTTTGGATTATGGAATTATAATGAACCGCGCTTTTATAATATTGGCAGAATTTTGGATTGTCAGATTACGCATTTACAAGATGTAAAGTTGGAACCACTAGAATCCCACTTGCTTGATTAGCATTTTCACATGATATGGCGAGTGATCAATAAACCTGGTTTTTTGCTAAAAGAATTAGCTAATCGAATTTGTTAAGACTAAAACTAAGACTTTACCATTTCTAAAATTTTGATGTTGAAAAAATAAAAGAATATAACATACAATTAGATAAGTTATCAATGTCTGCTGAAATCAATTCGGCCTTGGACAATTTATGAGAACAACTATAAAATTAGCTAATCGACTAGTTGATATCGGTTTATTAATAGCCGAAAAATAAAAATTATGGTCGTCCAGGATTATTAATGCATGTTTAGAAGTATGTATGTACACAAATTTTTACATGTATTTTTCATATACTAAATAATCAAGTCTATGTAAGGTATATAATCATAACGATAATACGGATTTTTTATGTATTGAAAATCCTGACATACCCGGCAAGATTTTTTAATCGAAGCTCAAAAAGATTCGGCGTTAAAAACTTTCATATCATAGTATAAAAAACTTTTTACACCGTTGTGATTTTAAATTTTCGGGTATAAAGCGAATTTGTAACAAATATCATAATTTTTTTGATTAAAACATCTAACAATAGCAAAAGCCGAGTCTCAAAAAGGTCTAGCATTAAAATTATCACAAAAAACTTATAATAAAAAAATTATATATGATATAAAGAAAGCCTTCTTTACACAATTGCAGTTTTAAAATTTTGGTTAATAAGGTCAATTCATAATGCACACACATCCTTTAGCAAGAACATATATAGCAAAAAAAATTCCTGCTAATGTAATAATTAAAAATGTTTAATTAATTTTTAACTGTACTTCTAACTAAACTATGACAATTGTTCATTACAAAGATTGGCAGGAAAAAATTGGTGTACGGTAACTAGAAGAAAAATGTATAATCAATTTTATGTGTAAAATCCAATACCCCAACGTACTCAACTTAACTATCAGCATTAGCGTTATGCCATTTAAAGTTAATTTGTTCTCATAATCCTGGTGTTTACTATTCCCAGATGAAACTTAAATTTGAAACAAATTGGGCAAGTCAATAACAGAATTTTGTTAACTTACCCTAACATTTGCTATATATGCAGCACTAGCATTTGAATCAATCTAAATACAGACCTTAGAATATTCTTTAAAATTGCAGATTATTTCTGATTTTAAGTAAGTACAGGTCTTTGTAATATCGATATTTAGAAAACAATTAGAGATAAGCCGATTATATTAAGTTCTAATCCGGAAATTACCGAAAAATTTGGTCTTAACTCACTTTCTGCTGCGTCAGACCCTAAATCTTGCTTGCTTTACAAATCAATTTATGCGAATTATGAAATATTATGTGCAAAATTATCAACCGTTTATCAATTTTTTTTTTGATACCAAGAATATATTCCCGACTAACTTGCTCGTAATTTATGTTTACTCATTACTGAATTCTCTTGATACCAACATAACTTTAACTTTCATTAGCCACATACATTCGATTGCAGAATTTTTAAAATTTCATCGTTTTAAAATGTACTGCTATAAAACGCAAAAAAAAAAAATCTTTATAAAATACACGCAAAAGAATTTATATATATTTAGAGATAAATAGATACATATAAAGCGGCGTAAATGTGATATTTTTATTAATAAACCCAAACTCATTAAAATAAAGATATAGACCAAACTTCAAGTAGCAATTAATAAACACAAGCACACAAGAACCAACCAGGTTTAAACATTAGACCCAGATCTTTTACTACTCAATAGCTTGTACCCATTCAAGCTATATAGTTGATAATAAAGTATATTAAATCAACATAATAAAATAGCTTTAGCTAAAACATTTCCAGTGCCAGTATAATTTGCACGGTCCAATAAACGGTAATAATTTTATCTTCTAAGCAAAGTTTCAGAAATATAATTATTTTTGATTCTTTTGCGAAATGAATGTTAACGGCTTTTTGTGATGATTTTTTATTAGTGAAACGTTCTCAAAGAGTTCTTTAAAGTGTAGAAATATGTTACCCGGGCAATTGATGCGATATTGCTCGGATTTGGATTATTTAATTTTACTCTAATAAATGTTTTCGACCTGTAAACACAAATATATTGGTTTATTAGAATACTTATATTAATAATAATTATAATCTTAGCAATATCTTACTTGTCCTAGTCACCGCGTGTATCCTATGACTAGTAACGTTAGCCAAAACGTGCCCCGATCGATAAAATTATAAGTAAAAATAAGAAAATAAAGAGATAAATAAATATAATTTATAGTTATAAATTACACAAAATCATAATTACCAAATTGTAAATTACAAGGTAATAAATTACAAATTACACAAATACATATTATTGTAAAATGCCCAACTATAAAAGGAACATACAAAAGTTTTTTTTTTTTTTGGTGTTAAGGTGAGGAACATACAAAAGTTAATCAATACTAGTAACAAAAAGTATTATAATATTTTCAAGAATATTTCAAGCTTCTGGTTATCAGATGTTCTCAATCAGACGAATGAGAAAACAAATCTGAAAGGAACCAAAAATAGATTTTGATTTTTATATTATAATATTTATATTAACTCATAAGAAAATATAGATTTCAAAAAATTATTTCGTAAAAGTTAAGCTTAAAAAAGTCATTTTGAAAATTATCAATTTGGATCCTTTCCCAGCACCTAGCCCAGATGTAATAATCAAACCAATTTATATTGGAAGTCTTCTTTAAAATTAAACAGTTAAAAAACTTGTGAAGTAGAGGATATGTAAGCGAACTATAGTAAAAAAAAAGCTTCATAGAAAAAATTAGAAGAAATCTTCGAGGAAGAACAACTGGCTTCTACACGGGAAATGGAAAAGAGAATGGTTGGAGTATGATTCGGGAATGCTATCGACCCACCTATTATGAATAAAACAATACGATTGTCTGATCATCTGTGCTTTAGCATCGAAGAGATAATCTCTGAAACTAAGTATCTCAAAAGCTTAGTTTGTAGTTTTTAGTAATTTAGAAGTTTATTAGATTTTGTAACGATATATTTAAAAACTCTTGTATTAATGTATAATATAATAACTACCTTATTTAATTAATTATTTAATAAAATTACCTAATATAATTATTTAATAAAGTTATTTAATAAGTTATTCGATATAATTATTTAACTTATAATATAACATGTAAATCTATGTATACCTATAAGAAATCAGACGAATTAGAAAAAAAAACCTTTTACTTTAGAATTTAGATATTCTAAAATGTCATCTAAAATGATTTTTGGCATAAAACTTTCAAGCAAATTAAAAACTAAACTATTAGACAATGTTGATTATTATACTATTCACTATAAACATCAGAGATTAAACTTTTCTTGTATTAGTATTTTAGTTTTTGTCTAATTTTCTCAGAAATTAATAGGGTTTATTCTTGTTTTAAAATCACAAACAATGTTATATATAGAGCTTCATGCCATATATAAAAAATCTAGAATTTATAAATACTGCTTATAGAGAAAGCAATAATCCTATTATATATGACTTCACCAAATGCTGTATACTCACTTATCCATGCTTTGATGACATTAAAAATGACTGTTGCATGCACAATTTTTATAAAATATTATATGATTCTGATTATAGATAGTGAACATAGTTCGAATAAAATTTAATTCTATTATATAACTATAATAAAAAAAAATTATACATATAGATATTATACATTTATAAATATAAGCAATAAGATCTGCTCCAGATCTGCTCCAATTTGTATTACGTAATCATTTATTGTTGCGGTGAAATCGGATGATGTTGTCCCCAATTTTAAAATATATACCCTGATAAAATCCACATATACTTTTTAATTATAAATTCTAACCATAAAATCCTAACCTAGCCTTAACAAAAAGGGAAATGATTCGTGTATGTACATCGGTTTCATGTACGTCAATTTTTTTTAGACAATAAAATTTGCTGCGCCTCCAAAATCCGTAAATTTCGGGTGCTAGCACTGCAATTTCATTGGCCAAAAAATTTGATGTACGTTATGTTACACGAAACCGATGTACGCAAATCATTTCTTAAAAAAACACTCAAAATTTCAGCATCATCCGATGTCAGCATCATCCGTGACATTTATTGTCATGGCAAATTCCCAAATTTTATAGATGCGTGTGCATTAGGTATATTTCTAGGAGAGTATTTTCGCGTATCAGTATAGTATAGACCGAATTTTGGAATAAATAGGAATTATAGCTGATAGTATAGCTCTCTTTTAATTTCGGCCTATACTATACCAAACTGCAAATTAAAACAAGTGATATCGCAAAAATGCAGAGTTTTTGACTCGGTAATATATAAAGGTATGTATGTAGAGACGAACTTGTCAATCTACCAAATGTTTTTATCTAACAAATTTTTATCTTATGAAGAAATATAGGTCAATGTTAATCGATGGATGTGCTACAATATCAACATGTTTTCAATGCATGAAATAGCAAAAGTCTCGAATAAAGCAAATACGTATAAACATGCACATGATTAGCGGGCGGAACTGCCATATGACATATTGCAAGTTACGATGACGGTTGTATGTGTCGTATGAATTCAAAATACCGTATCGATAAATTAAAATTTTGATATACAGTTAAAGCTCGATATAGCGAAGTCCACATTCTTACCTAATGCTTTCGCTATATAAAAATATTTGGCTATCAGAAGACAAATTTATATGTTCAGACACAATTATGATGCAAAAAATTTTCGTTATTTCAAAATATTTTTGCTATGCAAAATTCGTTATCTCGAGCGTTGACTGTAATTGTGTCTGATAACAGAACATTTCTATATAGCGAAGGCATTAGGTCAGAATGTGGACTTCACTATATTGAGCTTTAATTGTACATGGGGTTTTTTTCACGAATGGATGCCCTCAGGCACTTACTGTACATGTTAGACTTTTACTTCTCAACAACTATCAAAACCACTAAGAGCAAAATGAAATTATTACATCTTAAGAAGTTATTGTTACAGTCGTCTTCCAAATAGTCGCCTCCCCTATAATCTCATCATAAGTAATCACATTTATGTTTAGACAATGTAACCGTATCTATTTAGTGTAGATAGGTTTTAACGATTTTTTTGTAGAAAATTAAGCAAAATTGGATTTTTATTTTTTTATTAAAGATTACGTGAAAAGCCACTTTAGCTTTCTCTTTTTTTATATATTTATATCACATATTACAATACAATTACTTGATTACAATTTCAAATATATAGTTATTACGATCTCTAATGAATAACGCTAATGCAGTTTCAATCTTACATCATGTTCACATGATATATATTTCGTTTTATGTATTTCTGATAAGTTTGTTGTATGAACCTTAATACATTTGTTGTATAACATGGATTTTGTGCAATGTAATTCAACAGTTTTTTTACATTCTTTCTTATTTAAACAAGTTTTATTATATTTTTTGAACTTTTTTATCAGGTCTTTGTAATTTTCAAGATTATTTAAGAGTTCTTAGGTTGCATTATACATTAGCAGAATAAATATATAAAATATTGCAAAAGATTTTGCATACTAAAAAACTTTTAAAATAATCACAATTGATGTAAAATTATTCAAAATAAAATAATTTTGTAATATTCCAAAATAAACAAAATAATTTTAAAAGAATTTCAGTTATTTTGCAATAATATTTTTTTTTTTTATTTATTTATATAATATCAAGTAGAAAAATAAGGATACATTTATATATCAATTGGATATGGATATATAACTAAAATATTATTCCTAAACTACACTATTATTGTTATATATTACAACATCTAGTATGATATTATCCTTTAGTTTTCTATTAATAGTTGAGTTAATTAACATGAACTTAACTACAGAGAGGATAAAAGGAACTCTTAAGATTATTTAATTAGTAAAAACAGTTATATATAGTGAAGTTTTAAATAAGTGTTTTAGAAATAAAGAGATCTATGTTAATATTAAAAATAAAAGTAATATTATTAGTTTGTAAGTTGAAGGATAGATAATCTGATATTATTTTTTTTTTTAGTAGAGAATGTAATTTCTCATAATAATTCCTATTCATGTTATTTAGTATTATGAGTTTGCTAGATAGTAGAGTTGAATCAAGTAAGTAATAAGTTAAATAAAAAAATAAGAAAATTGTTAGTTAGTTTTTTAAAAATAAGTTGAAGTTGGTTGTATTAGTTAAGAGTTATTGTACTCTGAATGAGTAGTAATATTGTATTATATATATTTAGATTAAAAGAAGTATTTTATATAATAAGAATTTGTATTATTGTATTTGGTGAGATTTCTGTAATGTTTAAAGAATTTAAAGCATTTGAGATTTCATTAGTGAGAGTATCTTGTAGATTGTAGGAATGAAGTGAGTATTGGAATAAATGTTCAATGCTTTCATATTGATTACAATATAAGCAATTTGGGTTTAGATAAAGAAGAGAATAGCAGATATTTAGATTTGACATTATAGGTAGATTATTAAGAAGTATTTTGTTTCTAATAAAATATAGTTTGAAATTAGAGTTTTGGAAGTTAATAATTTCAGTTAATAATAAAATATTTATGATCAGAAGGTTTTGTAGTAGTTTGAGTTGAAGAAGTTTGTTAAATATTTAAATTAAGATTAGGTTTTTATAAAATTTACATAGTTTGTATATGATTGAAATTTCTTTCTAAGAAAAATAAATAGATAGATAAAAGTAGTCATGATTAAATTTTAATTTAATTTTTTTGGCACCTTGTTTAGCAAAAGAATTGGTTATATTATGTAAAATATTTTTTGAATTTAATTTAACTTTGTGTATAGTGTAATTGATGTTTTTAAGTTTTATTAAATAATTAAATATATATATAATATCCTAATTATTTTGTTTGGTTTGTGAATTATGGTAGTAGAGTAGTGCATTAGAGAGTGTTTGAATAGTAGATAAACTGTCTAGATAGATATGAATTTGATAATTAGCAGTTAGAATAAGGAATAAAGAAACAAGTGCTACTAATTTAGCACATATTGAGTTTGGTGTATGAGTTATAGAAGTATTAAATTTAATTTGTGTATCCTTTTCAAGGATCCAAGTGATATCTGTTGAGATATTATTTGTTTATGAATTGAGTATAGAGGCATCTGTGTAGAAGTTTAAATTAATTAGTTTTAGAAATAGAATTTTTTATGAAGATCAATGAGTTGGTTTTGGTAAATAGGATCAGGTATTATATATTGTATTAAAAGAATTTCTGAACTGGCTATTAAAAAGGAGAGTAATGATTGAGAGACTAGTTTGTAGAGTTTTAAGTGAATATTTTGGAGTGCTTGAATTTCTTGATTATTAATATTGAGTTCGAAATATTGTTTTTTTTGTGTTTTGCATTTTAAGTTAATAGTATTTTTGTAATTAGTTTGAATCATTGTAGGTGTAGGAGAGATACAAATCATGTTGGATGTTGAATTGATAATTTGGTAGTTTTGAAATATTAATGATGAGTTGGTTTTATTTATTATTTTGCTTATATGCCAGTTTAAAAATAAGATATGAATTGTCCATGCATTTTTAATATTATCAAATTGAAATATGATTAGATTAAATGTATTTAGGAATGGATTTATTGATAGAAATTAGATATTAGACCATATGCATGTTATAGAAGAATTGGATATTTGATTTAAAAATATTTTGAATCAGCTTGAAATGGGGTCTTATAGAAATTTGAGAGTTCTTAAATATATGTTTTTTCAAGAAAGTAGATTTAAACTATCAGCTATAAGAAGTTATTTAAGAAAAAGAATTTTGTTATTTTTAAGACTTGAGGTTGTTAAGTTACTTGGAACTGAGATAAA